TCGTCATCAGCAGCAGCAGCAGAATCACTCCTCCACCCACATCTTCATCCTCCTCCTCGTCTCTACAGTCCTTATGCTACCATAAGGAACGCTGAGCAACCAACGAATGGACGAATTCTGGACACGGCGAGCCCCGACCGCACATAGGTTCCGCGACCCGGGACCTGGGTCCGAGGAACAGAGCCCAGAGTGGTCCGTACAGTGGAGGTCAGTCCACAAGAAACCTCCCACAAGAAGCCCAACCCTGAGACCCCAGGACGTCCATCGACTTTTGGTGCGGGCACGTCGTGCTTTCCATGGCAAAAACCATCGGAACCAAAGAAAACCAGGGCACCCTGGAGGCGAGTGGGGTGTTTCTTGGCATGGGCCTCCACTGTATGCCAGCGTCTTGGCTGTACACGTGCTCCTCCATGGGGAAGGCAACCGCCCCGTGGGTGATCAGTACCTGTTCAGGTTTCGGGTCGCGCACGGTCAGCCCCCCCAGGTAGGCCTAGCTGGCCCAACAGGCCCCCCGAGAAGTCCCAGCCGGCCTCGACAGGCCCCCCGAATAGTCCAGGGCGGTTGTTTTCATCCCGAATCGTTTTTTGAAGGCCCCGCGGCCCGGTGAGGACTCCCAGAGGCCGAGAAATAGCGACAGCCTCGCGCCGCGATCTGTTTCTCATGACTCGAGGGGGGCCTGCGCGCGCGCAGCCCGAGGCCTCGCCGCCGGCACCCGCGAGATCGGCGGGGGGGGCGCCCGGAGAACGGCTCCGCGCACTGGGCGGGAGGCGGCGGGCCTTCGCGTGGCCTGGCTCCTCGCCGCACTTGGAATTGTCGCCGCCTGCCCCCCGCCCGCCCGCTCGCCCGGCGGGGGCAGGCCGGGGGGAGGGGCCCGAGGACGAGAAAAGGCGGAACGGCAACGGCGGCGAGGAGGAGGAGGCGGAGGCGGAGGCGGAGGCGGAGGAGGAGGAGGAGGAGGAGGAGGAGGAGGAGGAGAACGAGGTGGAGGAGGAGGAGGAGGAGGAGGAGGAGGAGGAGGAGAAGGGAGGAGGAGAAGGGAGGAGGAGAAAGGAGGAGGAGAAGGGAGGAGGAGGAGGCGAAGGGCGAGGAAGCGGGGAAAGGAAAAGGAGAGAGTCGGCGCTCGCGGCAGTGCCGTGGCAATGCCAATATATTGGAGGGGGGGCGTACTGGCCGCTGCCGCCCACGTCTGGCAGCACGGCGAGGGCGCGCGCCACCCTCTCCACTTGGGCATCCTCCTCGTCAACCGCCCGCAGCGCTCGCGCAGACAACTGGCGGCCGCGCGCTCTGCCTCCGCGCTGCCACCTTGGGCTCTCCCCCGGCGGCGGCGCCGGCGGCGCGGCCGCGGCCGCCGCGGCCCTCCCCGGGCGCAGCGCCTCGCCGGAGGCGCTGGGCGCCTTACGGCGGCCAGCAGCGGTTCGAGCACGGCCAGCAAGCTCATTCCCTTGACCGTCTTTCACCTCAAACGTGCGGCCATCGCATGCGGCCGCGATCATCTTGATGTACGGGTCGGTTTAAGCCAAACTGGACAGTGGCAGTCAGCAGCGCGGAGGGGTCCACAGGGCCGCAGACCTTTGATCAATCGAGCAGGACAACAAAAAGTTTGCTATCTTGTCCGGCCCACGCTTACTCGATGTATCTATGCATTATGAAGACGGCGTCCCTGCCGCCCCGCTTCTTCCGGAAACCAAACTGGCTCGGCCGAAGGCGTTCCTCGGCGCCCCCATCTGGAATCCTGTTCAAAAGGAGAGCAGCCAAGATCTTGTAGCTCATTGCCAGAAGAGACATTGGTCTGTAGTTGACAGGCAAGGACTCGCCCCCTTTCTTGTGAATCGCGCTGGCCCTACTATGCCGCCAGTTCTGCGGGGCCCATTTCTGCTGCCAGCAATTGTTCAACAAGTCTGAGAGAACAACGCATGTATCGTCACTGCCACGAACAAATTTCCAGAAATCGGGCGGGACGTCGTCTGGTCCGGCTGCTCTCCCCGCCCGGGGCTTGCCGAGCACGGCGCGTAGCTCATTTGCAGAAAATCTGAGAAGTCCCCCGCGGGGAGGTCCAAATCCTGCTCGCGCCTCTGTCCGCGCGGAAAGGGCGGGAGAGGGCCAGTGCACATCCGAATGGTATGTCGCCATGGTCTCAGCCCTGTGCGCGCTGTCCACCAGGTCGCCTTTGTCGTCTCTCAGCGCTCCCTGGGGCTTCACCCCTCTCTTCTTGAATCGCGGGATGCTCTCCCAGCTTCCGTCTGCGAGCATGTCGTCCAACCAGGCTGCCCTGTCTTTGCGGGCGGACTGGCCGACCTGGCGGTTGAGCTCTTTCTCCCCGGCGAATTGGCGCGATGTCCGGGCTTGGTTTCGCAGCTCAATCAAACCAAATACACCCCTGCAGATCCAAGGCCTCCGTGCGTGAACTTGCCGGCTGTCTAGACAATGTTCGGCCGCTGATTCCAAGCATCGAACAACGCGCCACGCATGGTTGTCGACGTCTGGCGGCGGAGGCCTCGCCGCTGCCGCCTCGACAAATTAGCCAACGAAGTGTGCTGCCACCGACGGCCGTTGCAGAGACGTCGGGTCCAATCTCTGACGGTAACCAGTCGGCTCCGTCTTTGGGATATCTACGTCGAAAGGTGCCTGGACGAGAAAAAGGTGAAGCGAATGCAAGAGAGCGGTCCGATTTCACCGATCGAGCAATATGTTGCCAACGATCGTCGATAATGAGATGATCGATCTCTGCGAACGTTTCGCACGTGATTTCGCTCGTTGGATCCGTGCCCAAGTCATAGTACGTTACCTTTTCCGCCAGGGGTCGATCCAGGAATGCGCTCGCAACCACCATGTTCAGCGTAACACACTGCTCGGCCAACAAATGCTGGTTGCTCGTGGCGTCGGGGACGCACGCCGGGTCGCCGAAGGCGTGCGGGCCGACCACAGGCATCTCCTTGCAGAAGTTCGGCGGGAAGCGGGCGTTCATGTCACCGAGCACGATGACTGGGCCATGTGGTTTGCAGAGGACCACGGCCGCGTGCAAGTCCACACAGAACGAATGCCGGATGTCGAACTCGAGAGCTGATTGCGGAGCATACGCTGACACCATAGCAAGCGACCCTCCAGGCACACAGAGCTTCAGAGCAGCAGTGCGGTCGCTGAGCTGCGAGAAACCCATGGGTGAGTGACGACACCATAGGGCGACCACAAAATCTACTCCAGCATATTCTCGCTTCGCGGCCAAACCACCATATAACATAATCAAGCATCCGTCCTGCACGAAGTACGGCGCTCCAGCTATGTGCGTTTCCTGCAAACGCATAACATCGGTTCTTCTCTTCTTCATTCTAACAATGATTTGCTCCAGCTTTGTGGAGTCCGTGTCGATGCCCAGGCCCTCGACATTCCTAGAGGCAAAAGAACACACTTCGCTAGGACGGCACGGCTGCGACGGTTCAAAATGAAATGGCCTTCCGCGTTGATGTACAAACTCTGTCCGCATGCACGGTACATGACGGGCCCCCCGGGGAGGCCAAAGGCCGTCATGTAGTGAAACGGTCGGTGGTGAAACTCGTGGCTGCCGATCGCGTGGCAAAGCTATTAGAAAGCTCGCGTGGGCAGTCGTGCTGCCGCTGTTGATCTGCGAACCGATGTACCGTCGTGACCCCTAGTACGAGCCACCTGGTCCACCACGAGCGCCGGCCGCGCTAGGCTGTCCGCCTGGCTGGTGCCCCTCTTGCCCTTGCCCTTGCCCTTGTAGTTGGTGCCCTTCATGCCCTTCGAGGCCTTCTCGAGCAGCTCCGAAGATTTCGCGTGAACCTCTCTGATCTGCGGGTGGTCGTGCCGGTCGGTCCACGTCTTCCACTCCCCCTGCCAGTCGTAATGCACCGTCTTGTCGTCAACCTTCGCAGTCAACGCGTGCTCGCACCCTACCGTCACGACGTACGGGTCACACTCGCTGACTGAGATCGTGTACCGAACCTCCCAGTGCTCCTTCAACACCCGCTTCAAGCCCAGGCAGAAGTTGCGAGCAGCCCGTTCCGCCGGAGGTCGGTCCTGCGTGGCCCACACCTTCTTCTTGCCATTGGTGGGGGCTGCCGTGCGTAAGATGTCAACTGCACTGTCCCGAAGAGTCTCAGAGCAGAACTCTGCAAACAAAATGCCCGAAAACTGCCATTTGGAGTACGTCTTCGTGGGGGATGGGCCGTTGAGGTACGAGAGCTTGTCCTGTAGCCACTTCGTGGCCGTCCTAAGGTCCCCGAGCCCGTCCAAATTGCCGATGATCATGCTCACCGCCCGCTTGTACATGGTCTCGGAGGTCCGGTCCGGCAAGCGCCCCTTGTTGAGACCGCCGTCGCTGATCAAGTACTCCTGGATGCACTCGCGGATCTTGACCTCCATGGCATCCTGAGACGAGAACCGCATTTTTAAAACCACCCGCCCTCAATCCGTGAAACTCCTACAAACGTTTAAAAAGAATGCGCGCGGCGCTAAGGCGAGAGCCACATGTTGAAAACCATCCGCACTCAATATGCGAAAATGGTGTAATGTGTCAAGCTTTAGAGCCGTAAATGGTGAGGAAGTCTCAGGCGAAACCCCCGGCCCGCCCCAAAAACTGGCCTCGGGGTGCGACAGGAGAAGTTGTGCAAGGAAAAGGAATAGAGGAGGAGGAGGAGGAGGAAGAGAAGGGGAAGGAGGAGGAGGAGGAGGAGGAAGAGGAGGTGGTGAGGGCGGACGTGGAGGAGGAGGAGGAGGAGGAGGAGGAGGTCCGTAGCTATTTTGGCTCAAGCTTACGGCTCAAGTTTCAGCTTACCCCACCCGTTACCTGGGTGCTGCCGTCAACTTCTACATGTCGCGCCACGCCAACTGCTACCTAAGCACGAGACGACGGGTCCCGACGAGACCACGACCTCGTACGCAGAAGGACCTCACGGCCAGATCGGTGTCTGGGTCCAGGACTTCTACCCGCTCCCATTTACTCTTTCGGACGGGTCCTCGTCCAACTGCTGAACGCAATTACTCGCCAAGATGTCGCAGAACCAGAGCGGCGCCTACGGCTTCTACGTCTCCGACATCCAGGCGGCCTTCCAGCACTTCTACAAATACGCAGAGTCCAGAAACATACAAGTATTCAAAGCTACCTGTCCAGAGGCTACTTTATACCAATACCAGACGAGCGTGAGGGCATGGGGCCGCACTGGCAGAAGCCTATGCCATCACAGCGCAATTACTGGCCTACGCGCTCCAGCTACCTGGTCATCAAGACCGAAGAGTACACGGACACGACGATCTTCCAGGTACACATCCCAAATGTGGACAAGACGTCAGTGCCACAGTTACCGACCTACCCGACGCCCAACGTCAGCGACCTGAAGAAGGCTACGTCCCTACTCATGCATGGTCCTGCTTTCCAGCAGTGTTTACCAGATTGGAGCTCTACGACCCGCTCCACCAGAACACCATCTTCAAGAAAAACGATAACCTCGTCTACAACCCTACCAAGAACGGCGGAACCCGCTACTCCGGCCACTTCATCAACCAGTGCAGCGACTTCCAGGAGCGCCAAATAGTACCTTCTACAAGCGACATCAATTACCCGCCACGGTTGAAGATCTACGAGGACTCGCCATTTCTGGCTACTCAGGGTACGAAGCGTCGGCGTACTGACTGATGCCCAGAAGAAGCTGTACAAACTCCTGCGACAAAGTCAGCATCTTGTACTCCAGATTCCTCGTCTACCTTCCGTACAAGACGGTCCGCTAGGTCCTCTGAGGTCTGAGGGATACCTAGTCTCAACCAGGGAGCCCCAGAATGACCTACGACGTCACCCGTTGCACTCCTCCCACTTGCGGCCCACGGCGACCCCCCCTCTGCCCCCTCATTTAATGACGCCGCGACGACCTCCCTCCCCCCCTCCCCCCTCCCCCTCGCCGTTAGGGTCAACGCTACCCCGTCGGGGTACGGCGGAGGCGGACGTGGGGAGACAAGAAGGTACCGATACCGCTACTCCCCGGACCTCTCCCGGGGTGCGTTCTGACAGGATCTCGAGGCGAATCCAGCGGTGGCGACGAGGGCCTCTCAGGAGGCCCAAACATGGGAAAACGAGGGAAGGGTAGGGGTATGGGTACCTTTTCCTCTTCTGAGGACGTGGCCAAGACCACTTGAGCCGTAGCCACGTGTACAGGCAGCCCCAGGCGCCGTCCGTACACGGCCTGCCTTACGGCCGCCCCACCCCTTGCGGGGGCGCGCGCGCGCGGCGCTGATATCGAGGCACTCGCCAAGTCGAGCTGCGGAGGCAGGAGGAGGAGGAGGAAGAAGAGGAGGAGGAGGAGGGGGAGGAGGAGGAGGAGGAGGAGGAGGAGGAGGAGGAGGAGGAGGAGGAGGAGGAGGAGGAGGAGGGAGGAGGAGAAGGAGGGGGGGAGGACGAGGAGGGGGAGGAGGAGGGAGGAGGGGGAGGAGGAGGAGGAGGAGGAGGGGGAGGAGGAGGAGGAGAAGGAGGAGGAGGAGGAGGAGGAGGAGGAGGTGGAGGAAGAGGACGAGGAGGGGGACGAGCAGGAGGAGGAGGAGGAGGACGAGGGGGGACGAGGAGATGGAAAAGGAGGAGGAGGAGGCGGAGGAGGAGAATGGGAAAGAGAAGGAGAAGGAGAAGGGGAAGGAGAAGAAGGAGGAGAAGGAGGAGGAGAGGAGGAGGAGTAGGAGGAGGAGGAGGAGGAGGAGGGGAAGGAGAAGGAGGAGGAGGAGGAGGAGGAGAAGCCAGTGGAGATCGGGCGGACGGACGGACGCTCCAATGCGCGCGCCGGGGCGCGCGGTCCCTCCAGGGATGGAGCGCCCCGAGGCGCGCCGTGGAGCCGAGCAGTCGTAACTGAGTTTGGTGCGAGAGCGTGATGCGAGAAGGATGGGGGAGATCCAGCGCACTGAAAAAAACACTACGGCGGTTTTCCCATTTTTCGGCCTCGAGGGGCCCTCGCCGGGCCCCGGGACCGTGAAAAAACGACTCAGGATGGAAAACCAGTCCTGGGGAATGGGTCGAGACTTCCGGGGACCTCGCATTGAAAACATCACGACGTTTGAGGGAAGAGTTACGGTGGGGGCATTGTAAAACGAACCACTGGATAAGGAATCCAGGGTCTGAAAGCCAGTGGAACTCCAATCGAGGATCGGCCATGGGTATCACCGCCGCCCTAATTGGACAAGGAATCCTCCATGGTCTGGAGCCTCCTGGGCGCATTTCTTAACGAATGCCCCCACCGTAGCGGTTCAGCGCGAGCGTGATGCGAGAAGGATGGGGGAGATCCTGGCGTCTCAAGGATCATGGGCTGCGAGAAGTGGCGTGATTCGAGCCAGGCGTTTTTTAGCCTGGTCTCGGGCCCCGGGGAGCTCGCAGATATCGATCTGGCACGAAAAAAAGGCGCAGAGAGAAAGGGTCCCTGGCTCCAGCCGAGGTGACTCACGATGTTTCAATGTAGCCGCGCTGTCGAATCTCAGGGGCGGGGGAGATGGGGGAGAGGAAGGATGAAGGAAAGAGCAGGGGGAGAAGGAGAGGGAGAGGAGGACGAGGAGGGGGAGGAAGAGGGCCAGGAATAAGAAGACTAGCATAAGGAAGGAGGGGAGGAGGACAGCGACGACGACAAGGAGGGATGAGGAGGCAAAGGGGGAGGAAGGACGGGGATGGGAAGCGGGATGAAGGCAGCGAGTCAGGTCCCGGCCGCTCCGATGTTCCCCACCCGACTAGTTGTTCTCCCAGCAGAGCTCTCTAGTGTGCTCTTCGTTCCTCCGCCTGCAGCGGGCTCGTGTCGTGACGACCTCGGCGCTGGTTTCTGACACCGCGCGGATCGTTCAACCTTGAGCGATTAAGGCTTCCCGATGGAGAAGGACAGCTCGGCATCGGCCGAATCCGGGCCACTGGAGGAGTTCAACCTTGAACGCCCCAACTGGGGTCGCCGCCGAGTCGACACGACGCGGACCTACCGTACCTCGCCCTCAACTCTGGCAGCAATACGCCAGGATGAGATGCCACAGGCCAGCACCGACCTACACTCGGCAGCGGCACCCTACGCCGTCAGCTGCTCGGCCCACCCCTTGATGACGTCGAACGAGTTGCCGTTCCCGTGGACGAAGCACACAGACTGGCCTGTCTCCTTGTTCCTAAGGGATTTGTTCCCGCCAGTGGTGACGACCTCGACAGGAGAGTTCCCATTATTCACCATGTTGTGCAAGGAAAGGACCAGGGTGCCCGGGTAGTCGAGGGTCACCAGATCGGGGTTGGCGAGGAAGTACTCGTTCACCAGGCGGTTCTCGAGGCCCGGGTAAGTGCTGAGGCCAGACAACATATCGAAGACGTCGTTTGCAGGCCCCATGATGAAGCCCGCATTTGCATACTGGTACCTCGGCGGCTGGCTGCACTGGCTGTTAAGAATGCTGGCGCTGCAGTTCGCGTAAGTCTCCGCCCAACTATGCGACACGCCGTAACTGTCGAGTATGGAGCGCGTGCGATTCACAAGGCTTTCGTTCCACCTTTGATATGCCCAGCCCATGTCCGACGGATAAGGGGACACCTCCGCAGCCAGTACGATCTTCGTCGTGCTTCCGCTGGCGGCGACGAGGGAATCGTACTTGTACTGGAGAGTGGCCTCGTCGCAACCACCGTACAAGACATCGCCGTGAGAGTGCACGACGACCAACTTCTCCGGGTATCGGCTGATCCAAAACTCGAGCCACTTCCTGAGGCCGAACCACTTGTTCCTCTAGAGAACCGAACAACGGTATAAACATAAACTGTTGGATGTCCACGCGGATTTATGGGATCCGGGCCGGACCCACCCCTTCTGGTGCGCGGCGCACGCCAGGAGCGGCACCAGAGGCGCCGCCAGGAGGCTCCAGCGCCGATCCGAGAAATCCGCGCGGAGCTCCGAAAAAGTATGTTTACGCAGTTTGTTCGTCTTCGACCCTCTGCCACTCCCCCGGACCCTCTCCCGGGGTGCGTTCTGACAAGAGAAGCCCGAGGCGAGCCCAGCGGTGGCGACCTGAGTCTCCCAGGAGGCCCCCAAATGGGAAAACGAGGGAAGGGTAGCGATAGGCTGGGTACCTCTTCCTCGTCTGAGGTCCTCTGCCACTGCCAGACGGTCAGGTCGGCCGTCGGGTTCACCACGCCGTTCAGGTGCATGTACTCCATGCCTCCGACCGTGCCTCCGGTGCGGAAGCTCGAGGGCGGCGCCGGGGGCTGGTCGACGTCCTTGATGGCCACCGCGCCGACGGCGATGTTCGGGGGCAGACCGTCCTGGGCCTCGCGAACGGTCCCGAGAGAACTCAGCTTCACCTCGGTGGTCGAGTTCTCCAGGATGGGGTGCTCGCCCACGTACCTGGAGGAACAGAAGAAATACATAAGCATACCTGTACGACCACCCGTCGGGTGACAAGGAGGGTTCGGGGAAAAAGAGCCAACTGATGGCAGCCTTGGTGGTTGTGATGAGGACGACGCCGACGATGCGCCCTTGGGTTCGCGACAAGGCGTGATGATGATGCGCCTGCCGCCCGCAGACATATCGAGCAGGCGGTGAAAGAGGTCGTGCGCTCACCATCGCTGGAGCGGGTACGAACAGAACCCATGGATAGTGGCATCCATTGTGTTCGACTTCCTGTCGTTCTCACGATTGAGCTTACACGAGAACTGCGATCGATCGCAATATCATGATGGATTTCACATTAACTTCACTACGATCGTCTCACGACGATCTAAAGATACCACTGCAAATCTTACATTCGATCTATATCGATTTCACAATCGATCTCACAGCCGACCTCACGATCGATCTTACTCCATATTGCACTATCGATCTCCCGATCGATCTCACCGTTGATCGGACAATCGAACTCACTATCGATCTCATAGTCGGACTCACTATCGGTCTCAAATAGGTCACACGATCAGTCTCACAATCTATATCCCACTCAATCTCACAGCCGATCTCATGATCGATCCCACCGTCGATCACACTATAGATCTCACAAGCGATCTCACCGTCGATCTCACAAGAGATTTAGCGATCGATCTCACAACGGATCTCACTATCGATCTCCCCAACGATCTCACTATCGATCTCGCCGCCCTGCTTTGGGACTCTGGCTCCCGTCGCCCAGCTCCGGGACACGGAATACCGACGGGAAACCGACCAGACACCGACGGGACACCGACGGGATGCCGACGGGACACCGACGCGCCACCGACGGGACACCGACGGGCCACTCACTGCGCGCCGGGGGGGGGGGGGCGGACAACCGGCTGCACAGCCCCTTGCCACGGCGGCATGATTGCTCTCGCGCGCCCACGCAGCTTCGCCTCGCCCGCAGGCACGACACGGTCACGAAACCGAAACCGATTTCCCGATGGGGGGCACTCCGTTCCACTGCGATCTCACCCCCGAACCTCCGATGCTTTCGGAGGCCCGCGCGCATCTCTTTGGACGGCGCCGGCGCCGACCAATGGCACGGCTATACGAAGGAGCGACCATAGGTAAGAGTGACCTTTGGTGCGCGGCTTTCTAAGGGTGCGCGCGGAGGCCACACCCAGCCGCGCAAGCCGCTGCTAGCGCCACGAATTCTACGAGCGAGGGACCCCAGCGGGGTCGCACCGAAGGTCACTCTGGAGAAGGGTCACCCTTACGTGTAGCCGCTTGGCACACTCCGAGCGCCAGGGAGGGGGGGGCTAGCGCCGACCCAGGAAATCCGCGCGGACCTCCGAACATGCATGATCATGCCTTTGTTTTCCTTGTTCCTTGCGCACCTCAAAAAAAGCTCCAAGAGAAGCCCACAAACCTTACAAAATTGCCCGACGGGGGCTCCAAGACGTCTAAACAGGGCGACTGATCCGAAAAGGCTCTACGTGGTTTAAATTCTAGCTGGATGCATGCTGCTGAACGTCCCTGGTCAAAGCAACTCGCCTGGCGATCGTGTATGGATAGGCTGGTGGGGCCCCTCGAGGCCTCTAAGAGGCCCTCAAGAGGCGCCAAGATGGCCCCAGGAGGCCACCAAGAGGCTTCCTCCTCATCTTGTCCTCCTCCTCCTCCTCCTCCTCCTCCTCCTCCTCCTCTAACTCCTACTCCTCCTCCTCCTCCTCAAACTCCTTCTCCTCCACGGCATCCTTCCCCTTTCTCTCCTCGTTCCCCTCCTCCTCCTCCTCCTCCTCCTCTTCTTCTTCCTCCTCCTCCTCACAAGTGCCGCATGTGCGAGGAGGAGGAGGAGGAGGAGGAGGAGAAGGGGAATGAGGAGAGGAAGGGAAAGGATGCAGAGGAGAAGGATGAGGAGGAGGCCAAGATGAGGAGGAGGCCTCTTACCTCCTCCTCCTCCTCCTCCTCCGCCTCCTCCTCCTCCTCTTCCTCCTCCTCCTCCTCCCCTCGACGGCCCCACGGCACAACCAGACGCCACATCACCTGCGGGCCAGCCTCCCAAAGATGGGGGCCCGCCGCTCCGAGGGTGCTCGGTCCGCCTCCCCTCGAGTACCCGACGTCCCTCTCGACGCTGAACTCCCAGGGGATCGGCAGGATCTCCTGGGACGCCGCAGCGCGCGCGAGCGAGCGGCACGCACAAAGGAGCTCCCGAGGAGCGGCCCCCCTACAAGTGCAGGCGGCGCAGCGGGGATAAACAACGAAGGGAAAATGGCCAGCCCAGTACAACCTCCTCCTCATCTCCTCCTCTTCCTCCTCCTACTCCACCTCCCCCTCCTCCACAAAAGGGCAGGCGGCGTAGCGAAGATAACCAACGAAGGGACAGAGTCCAGCCCACTACAGCCGAAGAGCCCGACGAGCACGCGCGGGGGCCCTTGTCCCATGCGACGCACGCACGGACGTACGCATGCACGAACCTGATGCAGAAGGACAACCTAGTACGATATATCTTCCCTGGAGGCGTGCGTCCGACCCGAACATACAGCACGCCAGTCTTGCAGTACATCGTTTCCCAAGCGGCAAGGCCAGACGGCGCCCGTCACGGAACTTGTATATGCTGTCTACACATGGCATGCGTACGTACGTACATACGTACATACGTACATACGTACATACGTACATACGTACATACGTACATACGTACATACGTACATACGTACATACATACATACATACATACATACATACATACATACATACATACATACATACATACATACATACATACATACATACATATGCATGCATGCATGCATGCATGCATGCATGCATGCACACATACTTACATGCATACATACATTCATACACACATGCCTACTGACATACCTACATGCGTGTATACATACATACATACATAACTACATCCATGCATACACACATACATACATACATACATGCACACATACACACGCATATACATATATATACACGCATGCATATATGCATACACGCATGCATGCATGCATTCAGTCACACATAGTACATACATACCTACATACACACAATCAGGCATACATGCATGCATGCACGCACATACATACATACATACATACATACATACATTCATGCATACATACATACGTGCATGCATACATACACTCACACATGCATACACACATACATACATGCATACATACATGCATACATACATACATACATACATGCATGCATGCATGCATGCATGCATGCATGCATATATACATACAGTTGCATGCACACACATTTGCATTAATGCATGCATATACATACATGCATACATATATACATGCATGCATGTAACATGTATGCATGCTTACATGCATACGCACGTACGTCCATACGTACATCCACGCATACATACATACAATAATGCATGCATACATACATACATGCATGTATGCATGCATGCATACCCTTGGATGCCGAAGCTGGGATTTTGCTGGGCGGCGGGCGACCCGTGAAAACGGCAGAGGACGGGCCGCAGAGGCAAGGACACCAGGACCTCTAAATGAAGGCGCGCGTCCTTGCTGGGCGCGTTGACCGCCGTCGTCGTCGTCGTCGCCGTCGTCGTCGTGACGCCGATCTCCTGTCGATTGGCCAGTACCCGCTCGGCGAGCTCGACGACGAGGTCTCCACCCTCCGCCCGCGTGGCGGCCGCGGCCGCGGAGAGGGCGCCCGCAAACAGCGCTCTCAGAGCGGCGAGGGCCATCTACGCAGGACGAGCACGGACGAGATGCTGGAGCGATCAAAACGACGGCACGAGCCCAGAGGTGCACGGTTTCCCCCAGGGCCGTAGGCGACCCAAGAAGGAGGAGGAGGAGGAGGAGCAGGAGGAGGAAAAGGAGGAGGAGGGGGAGGAGGAGGAGGAGGAGGAGGAGGAGGAGGAGGAGGAGGAGGAGCACGAGGAGGAGGAGGAGGAGGAGGAGGAGAAGGAGGAGCAGGAGCAGGAGGAGGAGGAGGAGGACGAGGGAGGAGGAGGATATTGAGGAGGAGAAGGAGATGAGATGAGATTGAGGAGGAGGAGGAGATGAGATGAGATTGAGGAGGAGGAGGAGATGGAGGAGATGAAGGAGGAGGAGGAGGAGGAGGAGGAGATGGAGGAGATGGAGGAGGAGGAGGACGGGTCGCCTAAGCCCCTCGGAGAAACCCTCCTCCCAGAGGTCCGCCGCTCAAACCGAAACCTGTGGCGGCGGGCTTCGGGCCATTTTCTCGGTCGCCGCAGGCCCTCGTCGGGGCCTCGGGGGCGTCAACAAAACGACGCAGGACGCAGCACCAGCCCTGGAGCAGTGGTCCGAACCTCCCAGGGGCCCACGCGCCGAGGACGAGATCGGAGCGGCCAGGACGTCTGGGAGAGCACACGCCCTCGGAGGGCCGCGCGGAGGGATGCTCCCGGATCGGCACCGGGCCTCCCCGCCCCCCGGGCGCTGAGGAGGCCCCAGCGCCGATCCCAGAGATCCGCGCGGGCCTCCGGAAGAGTGTACCGATGCCGCTGCTCTCCGGACCTCTCCCGGGGTGCGTTCTGACCAGGATGTCGAGGCGAATCCAGCGGCGGCGACGAGGGCCTCCCAGGAGGCCCGGAACGAGGATAACGAGGGAAAGGGCAGAGGTATGGGTACCTTTTCCTCCTCCGAGTGTGTGCACTCGTGCTGTGTTCCTCACTCGAGATACGGTAGTTCGGCAGTCGAGGCGCTCAACACAGCACCTTGAGGACCTGGGGCCGAAACGGCTGGAAGGGCCCGAGAACCCCGAGAGCCCATCCTCCGCCGATGGACGAAGGAGCCTCGCCCTGGCATCCCCGAGCGCGCGTGCGAAGGCCAGTCAAGGGAGGAGGAGGAGAAGGAGGAGGAGGAGGAGATTGAAGAGAAGGAGGAGGAGGAGGGGTAGATTGAAGAGAAGGAGGAGTAGGAGGAGGAGGAGATGGAGGAAGAGATGGAGGAGACGGAGGTGGAGGGGAGAGAGGGAGGAGGGAGAAGGGAGGAGGGAGGATGAGGAGGAGGAGGAGGAGGAGGAGGAGGAGGAGGAGGGAGAAGGGAGGGAGGAGGGAGGAGAGGGGAGGGAGGAGGGAGGAGGGAGGAGGGTGGAGAAAGGAGGGAGGAGGAGAAGAAGGAAGAGGAGGAGGAGGAGGAGGAGGGAGAAGGAGGAGGGAGGAGGGAGGAGGAGGGGGAGAGGAGGAGAGGAGGAGGAGGAGGAGGAGGAGGAGGAGGAGGAGGAGGAGGAGGAGGAGGAGGAGGGAGGAGGAGGGAGGGGTAGACGCGCTGAATTAGCTGCAGGTTTCGTTGCTGCAGCTGGGGTTCGCGAGGTGCCGCTCGGAGGTCCGCGGCCACAGCGGTGGATACGAGAGCATCGGTCGAGGGCACCTCTTTGCCAGTTGCCTTCTCATTTTATTACTATTCTTATTGGGCGCGCCCACTGTGGTATCATTGCGTCGTGTTCCGCATCTTGATTTCCTACCAGACCACCCTAACCCAACCCGAAGACCCGAATTTCGGGTTGAGGGGGGTACGGGTTCCATACGTGCTTTTGTCCATGCTCCCCGACCCCACCCCTTCTGGAAATGGACAGCAAATCGGGGCCTTCGGGTTGGGTTGGGGTGGTTTGGTGGGCGGTGACACCTCCTCTTCCTCGTCTCTCGCGCCCCTGTGAAGAAAATGGATCCAGCGTATGTTCCTGCGCTCCTTGCCTCGCTCGGGTTCGCGGGGCTCCTTGCCAGCGAACGCGGCCTCAGCCGCTGACCCGGCAGAGGGGGGGCGCAAAATGGAACGGAAGAATCCATCGCCGACGGCACGGCAAAGTCCACCGCCACCTGGCCAGAGCGAGGGCTCCGCACGGAGTCCGAACGATGATTAAAACCAATACTCTACACGAGCGCACGAGCTCAAACGGTGGACCCCAAACGGTAAGTTGTTGCAAAGTGGATGTGCAAGCTCTGTGAAGCAAGCTAGGTGGTAAAAGCTATGTGGTGCAGCAGACGTGGCAGAAGCTAGAGGCCGCAACGGGCAGCAACGTGGCGAACCCCCACCAGACCCACCCAGCGCATGATGCGGCAACGAGGAGGCACCGGGCGGCAACAAGGCCAACCTCGCCAGACCAATCCAGCACACGAAGCGGCGACGAGGAGGGAACGGGCGGCGACGTGACCAAAATTCGCCGGACCAATCCAGCTAGCGCGGCAACCTGAAGCAGCAACGAGGCGCAACCGAAGGTGACGTGGCGAAACCTCGCCAGACCCACCTCGCGCACGAGGAAGCAAGGCGGCAACGAAGCGGCAACGAGGCGGTAATGGCGGCAACCTGGCGAAACCTCGCCGGACCCACTCATCACACAAGAAACGGCAACGAGGCGGCAACGAGGCGGCAACGACGCGAAACCTCGCTGCACCCACCCATCGCCAACGAGGCGGCAACTGGCGACAACGTGGCCACAACTCGCCAGACCAACACACGAGGCGGCCACGAGGCGGCAACGTGGCAAAACCTCGCTGGATCCACCTATCGTAAGAAGCAACAACAAACCACCAACGAAGCGGGAACGGGTGGCAACGGCCAGCAACGTGGCAAAACCTCGTCGGACCCATCCAGCGGACGACACAGCAACGAGGCGGCAACGGGCCGCAACGTGGCCGAATCTCGCCAAACCCAACGGGCGGCAACGGTCGGCAACGTGGAGAAACCCCGAAAAGGGCGGCCACGTGGCGAAACCTCGCCAGACCCACTCAGCGCACGAGGCAGCAACGAGGCGACAACGTGGCGAAACATCCCTGTCTCTGGGCCTACCCAGCGCACGAGGCGGCAACGAGGCGGCAACGACGCGAAACCCGTCGCACGAGGCGGCACTGAGAGGCGACGAGGCGGCACCGGGCGACAACGTGGCCAAACGTCGACGGAACCACCAACGGCACGAGGCGGCAATGAGGCGGCATCGAAGCAACGGACCCACCCAGCGCAAGAGGCGGCAACGAGGAGGCAACGGGCGGCAACGATGCGGAACCTCGCCGGACCCACCCATCTTACAAGAGGCGTCAACGAGGCGGCAACGACGCGAAACCTCTTCAGACCCACCCATCGCACGAGGGGGCAACGATGCGGCAACGAGGCCACAACGGGCGACAACTTGGCCAAACATTACCAAACCAACACAGCGCACAAGGCGGCAACGGGCGGCAAACGGCGGCGACGTGGCGAAAATTCGTCAGCCAAAATGCTTGGGCCAAAACGGCTACGGCTGATGGTGGTGATGATGATGATGCTGAATAAGACTGTGATGATGATGGTGATGGTGGTGATGATGGTGATGATGACGATCATGATCATACCAACGATACGAATAACCAGAATGATGATTACTCACTGCGTGGAGATCCCCATATGCGAATCCTTTCTTATACAGGTAATATTGTGTTTGGGATATTCCAATGAGCGTCTAGCCGTACGAGCCATATGCGCTTGTAGGGTAGTGCTGTGGTGAACATATGTCTATGATAGTTTTGTTATACAAACGCGTCTACGTGAGCGACGAGCACATGCGCGCGCAACTCGGCTGCACATCCAACACGTGTATACGTTCATCCGCAAGCATATATCAGCGCACCTTTTTTTGCCAAAGCGAAGAATTTATTGGCACTGCGTCGCAAGCACCGTGGCAGAGGTCTTTCGCTTGTGCCGTCCACACCAAGATGGGGCGACCCAGCCGAAGAACCCAATGAGGAATTCACACGGAATGCCGTCCGCAGCTGGCATCGGGCCATGTTTGGGCGAGCGCCTAAGAGAAACGTAGGATGATGGGGCGAAGTGAATACGTTCGCGCACTGGCCGCCCGCATGTGGAATCGGACCAGGTTTGGCTCTGCGCCAGCAACACCTGGTCACTCCTCCTTGACCGCCGTACGCAATGGGGAGAGCCACTCGGGACACAACGAAAAAACAGAAAACAAGCAAACCGCTAGAGACATCCCCACCACGGAACGGTGACGAACGGAGCCGTGAAAGCACCCTTGGCGGCTCCCCTCAGGTAGCTGAAACCAGCGCCTCGCCTGAGACATCCTCACCAGTTGCTCCCCAAGCGAAAAAGGCTGAGACAAAGACAAGCAAAACCACTTCAAACATCGCCACAAAACGGCCGCGAACGGGACCGTGCCATACCCCTGGCGGATCCCCTCAGGGGTGCTGAAAAAAAGCGCCCCGCCTGAGACATCCTCACAATCTGCTATCCAAGCGAAAAATGTTGAGACAGAAAGCAAGCGAACCGCTTGAGACATCACACAAAACGGCCGCGAACGGGATCGTGCCATACCCCTTGGCGGCTCCCCTTAGGGGTGCTGAATCCAGCGCGCCGCCTGAGACATCCTCACAATCTGCTGTGTGTTGAGTAAGCCAGACCATGAGAAGGTCTGAGTATGAGTAAATCTGGGTATGAATGAGTCTCAGCATGAGTAAGTCTGAGTATGAGTAGGTCTGAGTATGAGTAGGTCTGAGCATGAGTCAGTTAAGATGATCAGGTCTGAGAATGAGTAAGTCTGTGTTTGAGTAAGTCTGTGTATGAGTAAGTCTAGGTATGAGGAGGAGGAGGAGGAGGAGAAGAAGAGGAATGAGGAGTAGGAGGCGCCCAAGTAATAATAACAACCCCATCTTAGGATATGGGGAACAGCAACAACCATATTCATAATATAGTAGTCATACGAATAACACGCATAATACACCGAATCGTACCAATAGCATTAATATAATAAAACCGATGTAGTAAACCAATGTTTTAAAACATGATTGCGATGATGATGATGACAATGATGACAATGATGATGCTGCTGACGATGATGATGATGCTGATGATGATGATGGTAAGATGATGATGATGTTGATGATGATGATAATGATGATGAAAATGATGGTGATGATGACCATGATTGTGATGCTGCTGATGATGATGTTGATGATGATGATCATGATGATTGAATGAGGAGGAGGAGCAGCAGCAGCAACAGCAGAAGGATGGGGAAGGATGACGAGGAGGATCCATTGAATGAGGAACTGCTCACATGGAACAGAAAGGCAGAAGGTCTCTGGGAAGGCTCCGCAGAACCTCAAAGGGTGAACCGGAGGCACCCCCCAGGGGCAGTCTCCAAAAAGACGCGGAAGACAGGGAGAAGCAGGAGGCGAGGCAGGACGAGGAGAAGACGTAGGAGGAGGAGGACCAGAGCAAACCCAAGACGCATCAACGGTGCTGCAACCCTCCGCGAAACTTAACGCAAGTTTTGCCGACCCTCCCATCGCCCCCAATGTCAATGTTCAGTTGCGCGCGCGGCGCGGTGCGCGGACGCCGTCGGACAGTTTGAAGTCACGTGTCTCGGCATCAACGTTGAAATTTGGGGGTCTAGGGGCGCCGACGCGTCGCGGGAAACTTTGCGCTGAGGTTCGCGGAGGGATGTAGCCCCTCCCTCATACGGTCAGGAACTTTTGGACAGCGTGTCGCTACGGCGGCCCCGCGCCGCGTCGGCGCCCCGTCGGCGCCCCTAGACCCCAAAATTTCAATGTTGATGCCGAAACACGTGACTTCAAATTGTCCGTCGACGTCCGCGCACCGCGCCGCGCGCGCAGTTAAACATTGAAATTCCTCCAAACATGCCTTGAGTATGTCATCCTGGCGGGAGACAGAGGAACTGCCTTGAGTATGTCCGTCTAGGTCAAGGAACGCAGAGAGGTGCGATGAAACCGTTTGAAGACCTGCCCATTTAATAGCCCCATGCTGGAAAGGAGTCGCTGTTCGTCTGACAAGTGTTTCGCCGTTGTCCACTTCTGGCCACACTGCTCGAGGACACCTCAAGCAAAAGCCCCGTTTGGAACAGGGGCCGCTGTCAATCCAGGTGTCAGATTGTTTAGTGCACCTGGCCATACTTTCAGAACGGCTCATGCGAGCACCCTGGTTTGAAAAGAAACCGCCATAGATCTTTGTGGTTGCTGGACCGTGCACAGTGTTACCGCGAAAAGGCGATGTTGTTTCATGGCCCACTCTCCATGTGAACCTTGTGGTTTATGTTGCAACGGATGCTGACGGTGCTATAGCAAGCGACACTTTGAAAAAACGGCCCGCATTTCATTCTTCTACTTAATGCAAGCTTGTCAGACGAATGTGCACGGCGCTACAATACGGCAAAAAAATCACATACGTATTGACAACGGCCCGCCCTCCATCCGTGGAACTATTGGAACTTTCAACGTTATGATCTTAAACGGTGGAGGGATCTCAGGCGAAAAGCTCTCCATGCCCTACCGATGCGTCTGGTAGTGCGACGAGTAGTTTGATCAGGAAGAGACATGGACGACGACGACGACGACGACGTCGACGACGACGACGACGATGACGAGGGAGGACGGATGGAGGAGGCGGGACGGAGGAATGGAGAAGGGGGGAAGGGAGAAGGGCGGGAGGCGGGGGGGTGGCGGAGGAGGGGGGGGAGGGAGGAAGGGAAGGGGCCAGGGAGGGAGAGCGGGGGGGAGGCCAGAGGGAGGAGGTAGAAGGCGGGAGGACGAACGAGAAAGACAGGAGGAGGAGGGAGGGAGGGAGGCCTTGACCCCGCGCCCCTCCGTAGATGGGGCAGGCCAGCATGCAC